GTATATATATATATATATATATATAGGGACGTGGTTAGCATGAGGCTAGCCCACATATTGTAGAAATGCGAGCTTGGCAATAAATATATTTTTTAAATATAATTTAATCTTAATTTTAAGAGAAAATATAATATTTAACATGGAGATCATGAATATGAAAATACAAATCAATTTTGAAAACTATAAATAATAATTATATTAAGAAAACATTTGGACCATTAGTTACAATTGTTTTTAGATGGACCACCTATTTTGCATCCATCTTTAAGATGGATGCTTTATACCTCTGGACCGCATAACGTAGAAATGAGGTCTAGCCTGCATGAAACAATTGTTCATTATAGATATATATATATATATATATATATGGCAGCATCTACACGATGCCTATGGGCGAAATGCTAGAGTGATTTCACACATAGGCCAATTGATGTACAAAAAAATCGGACGACCACCACGGACCTAGCATGTCCGTGGCGGTACCGTCGTGGATATACTAGGTCCTTGGAGGTCAAAAAATCATGCGGAGCCGTAACGGATGTAGCGCCGTCTGTTGCAGGTTCATTCAATAAACCGCCATGGACATAGCAAGTCTGTGGTGGGGGCGAAACACTGTAGCATTTCACCTATAGCCGTTTTTTAGGTTTTGCCTATATTTATATATATATATATATGAGCAATGATCCAATGCAACGGTTGTATTATAGTATAATACAACGACACTTCTAAAAAACCATGTTTGTGGTATTTGTATGACCCCAAATTTTGCACATAGACTCTCTTCATCTCAATAATCAATCCCCAAAAAAAAAAAAATCAATTTGAACCCTAGATATGATCAAAATGAGTCACATCCAAAAATGAATCTAGACCATTCATTTTGTAAATTTCAAAATCTTAGCCTTTATATACTGAAAATCATTTTTTTCTTTTTTAACATTATTCATCTAATGATAATAAAGCCATCCAAAAAAATTAAAAATGAAAAAATCCTTCTAAGGCATATATCTAAGCATCTCACCAAAATGAACGACCTATGTGAATTGGGCTAAAAAAATACTTTCTAAGTTGTGTTTTCAATTGTTTCTTTTTTTGTGATTGTTCATTAGAATGAAAAGAGT